CAGAGAGGCCTGGGCTGCATTTGCTGACCCCCACACCCAGTCTGAGGTTCCCTACTGATGTAGGAGCTGGGCATTTTTTGTTACTTAACTTACTTTTTAATTGTATACTGTTTTAAGCTATTTGTATGCTGCTCAGATATTTCATATGGTGGAAAGGCCGATAACAGTCTTGCAAAATAAATCCGTTAGTCATACCATCAGGGACTTGCCTTCCAGTGTGAAATGCCACATCATCTACCAATAATGACCTTTTGCTTTCCTCACAAGTTACAAAACAGGTTAAGCTCTCTGAAAAAGAATGGACACAGTAGTAATGTTCAGCTACCGGGGGGACATATTTAGGGTGGCTAGGGCACACTCATGTCATGGGTGCTGTTTTAATTCAGTAATTCCTTCAATGGGAAGTTCTAGTATGAAATTATTGAATTAGGATTTCAGTAAATCTATTCAGTTTTATTCTGTTTTTAATGTTTTGTTGAAAGCCGCCCAGAGTGGCTGGGGAAACCCAGCCAGATGGGTTGGGTAGAAATAGTAAATTATTAACTATTATCATTCTTACCCTATTGTAGATTACTTTTACTACCAGCTACTGTTGTTGTGACTGGATCACACTAGTCTTGTAGTATACATCTGGGTTTTGTGTAGAAATGCCACTTGATTGGGAGAAAGGCTCATAAATTGTGGAACTTTCTTCCAAGTAAATCCATATATTAGTCTTTAAAGGTACACAAGCACACAATAGAAGCATTGTGGTATAACATACATAGGTGACCTGAAATAGTCTCGCTGTCATTCAAAGGCAGCACTGCCTTTACATTGTGGTCAGCTAAATATAATTATTAGTGCAAAAGTCTATTCTTACTTTACATTTCCCCTTTTGGTTGCAGCGTATACATGTATCATCACTCTAGATATAGTCTAGGATTTTAGTCATCAGTTATAAGTGCAATTGTTTTGGCTGATGTTGTAGTTTATTCTTTAGAATTCTTTGAGTTTCCCTAACAAGGTTAGCTGCTGTTCAGATAATATAGGTATTATTAATGCTACTCATTTTGAACTTGTGCTTTATGAAGTCAACAAGAGGAACTGACACTTATAGGGCATAGGTAGTCAGCCCCTCTGGCATGCATGGACACTCAATGCTATGCGAAATGGAGGGTATGCACAAGCTTCCCATTTAATATAACAGCATGATGCAGTGTCAGCATATCATGAAGGCAGGAGGAAGAAACACAGCTTTTACCTCCTATGCTATGGGAATCCCTTCAGGTTTGGACATTGTGTCCACAGTGGACTGGCAGAAGATCTCTTATTTCTGATTTATATGGATGCCTGCAACAAAGAAAGGCTGCAATCTCACATACACTGAACCTAGGAGTAAATCCCATTTTCTTTAAATAGGGCTTCAGGGTTGACACACATAGGATTTCACTATAAGCCATCAGTATGTTAATGACACTCAGTTCTATATCTCCATAACATCTGAATCAAGAGAACTTGTGTAGGTCCTGGACTAGTGCCTGAGTGCAGGGTGGGCTTGAATCCTGTCAGGATGAAGGTGCTATTCAGAAAGTGGCCAGCTGCTTGCCCTGGATGGAGTTGTATTTCCCCTGAAGTAACAGGTATGCAGCTTTGTCAATTGAGGCCCAGCTGGCCTTAGTGGCTAGGAATGCCTTCAGCTCGTATAACAATTGCACCAGTTGTGGGATAGCTTAACCACAGTAGTAGTAGACAGGAACTAGATTTACTGTACAATGCTGCAGCCCAATTACTGACAGGACTAAGTCCCCCTTCCACACTTGCTTGGAGAGCTACCTTGAACTCAACAGCTTGGGACCAGTTTACAAAGGATTGCCTTACCACATAAGTGTCCATTTTGATCTGTGGAAATGATACATTTTGATAAATGTATCTACCTGCTTTTAAAGTTCTGAGTTTGTTGGTATTAGGTATTTTTTGTATTGCTTCAAGTTAACAGTTTAAGAGGTTTTTGTTGATTAAGCGATATATAAACCGTGTTAAATAATAAATAATGAAATGTTTGCATGCTAGACAGTACATAAAATCTGTACTTTTAACATGGGGCCATTGTGCCCACTTAAGTTTGGGGGGCCTTTTTAACCTATAAAGCCTTATGTGACTCAAGGACCACCTCTCACCAAAACCAGGCTGGACCTCAGAACCAACATGGACCTTGCAATCATCACCTGGGCCCTTCCTCATGTGCTCCCTCCTCAGGAACTCCATAGGGTGGCAACATGAGAATAAGACTGTTCAGTGGTGGTTATCCACTTGTGGAATGCTCTCTCTGGTGCCATTAATACATAGCTTTAAGTGCTAGGTAAAAGCATTTCTTTTCACCAGGCCTTTGGCTCTTATCCTGGCCCAACTGCACTGGCTACCAATTAGTTTCCGGGCCAAATTCAAAGTGCTGGTTTTGACCTATAAAGCCTTAAATGCTTCAGGACTGCAAAATCTCAAGGCCCACCTCTCTGCATATTAACTGACCTAGACCCTGCAATAATAATCTGAGGCCATTCTTCATGTGCTGCCTCTGTGAGAAGTCTGGAGGGTGGCAACACGAGAACGGGCCTTTTCTGCGGTGGCTCCCCATTTGTGCAATGCTCTCCCCAGGGTAGCTTGCCTGATGCCTTTGTTATACATCTTTAGGCGCCAGGCGAAAACATTCCTCTTCTTCAAGGCCTTTGCCTAACTAAACAATCTATGGCCCTTTAAACTGTGTGTAGGGCGGGATTTTTTTTGTTGTAGTATGTTTTTTTATATTGCAAACTGCCCTGTGGTTTTCAAATAAAGAGTGGTACAGATATTTAATTAATTATTACCTGTAGCCTTGAGTGGATGGGATGTTTTAATCCTGCCTTTTAAAAATAGGATTCTCTTTTAGATTTGTCTTTGGTTTTCTTTTATGCCAGTTTTAATGTGTTTGTTTATATATTGAGTTACCTTGGTAAAAATGAACCAAAAAATTTAATAAATACTACTGATAATATAACTTTTATTATTAACTGAGGGTTTAAAATATCTTGCAGATATAATAGTAAACACATTGTTTTTAATTTTTATTTTATTACTGTCGTTTGCTGCCTTGGGCTCTTTTGCGAAGAAAGATGGGATAAAAATGTACTAATGCAAGAAAATAATAATGACATCTGCACACCTTAAGAAAATAAAGATACAAACTGGTAATACCAAATCCTGTCTCAAATTCTTTTATATGTGAGGACCATCAACCTCTGCTTTTAAAACAAATTCTACTTAAATGCCTAGGCCATGCTTGTAACCATCTGCAGGTTCTTTCTTCATTATATGGCCTACACAGAGAGATTTAATAGTTTGTGTTGGAGATTTTCCAACTAGAGTGCTCTGTATTAAAGAAACTTTGCAAAGGAACCCCTTGCGAAGTTATCCTGTTTGCTACAGGGTGAACTTTTGGCTGTACACTCAGCTACTCCACACTAAATAGTGGTTTTCAATATTGGAACAGAGAACTGAATTGTACTTCCAACTATGTCCGCTCATGGCTTAGGGTAGCTTTTGCCTGAATGTTTAAGCAAATGAGAGGGTGGTTTGCCTGTGGCCTTGATGGATGCCAAAGAGGGAGGCACTTCAATTTGTTATGCTCTGTTGGGCTGCAAGAGTTTAAAACAAGCTGGCTTGGTCTAATTCAAAGTAAGTGCCATTTCTTCTAACTGTAGGAATGAATGGGGAGCTGCAATGCAGTCTTAAGCATTTCATGACAACCTCTGATTTCCCAAAGTGTTCAGTGGGGCTTCCTTGCATATAGGATTATAGCTTTAAGATGTCAAAAGCAATACAGGGACTGAAATCACCCTGTAAAAAAACACCACCACCATTCCCTACTGACAATGTAAAAACGATAGAGGTCTGGTTTGATTTTATATGTCAGTAAGGAAGAACACAGCTTGTCGCCATCCTTTCCTCCTAAGAACCAACCTGGACCTTGCAATCATCATCTGGGGCCCTGCATATGTGCTCCATCCTCAGGACGTCTCTCATTCAATCTGAATGTAATTAAAGCTGCCCTAGATGATGGAAGGTAAAATGCCATGCATTCTCTTCTTAGGGTTAAAAAGGAGTCCGTGTCCTGCTGCTGTTGTAAAATGCAGGAGAGAGTTAACTTTGCTCTAAGGGGAAACGTTTTTGTCAGGCCTTAAAACTATTATTATTTGTAATTGCATCCTAGGTATGTCAGCTCGGAACCAAGTTCTATTGAGTTCTGTGTGACTTACCGCCTGGTAAGTTGTATAGACGGTGGGGGAGGCAGAAGAGAAAGACAACTTAAAAATAACATTTGACGCCGCTGCTCGCCCATAGACATCCCTGTATCAATGACAGTCGCACAGAGCACACCTTGCAGACAGTACTCGCTATATGCCTGCTCGTTCGAGGAGGGCAGGGACACACCATAACTGGGGCAAAATACTGCAGCCTGAGTGCTGGCAAAATACTACAGTATTTATTCGCAAAGGAGACTTCCAAGTAGGTACACCTTTGGCTTAACGAAAAGGAGACTTTTATATTTTTTTTCCCCTCCACCACCACATAAAGAGGAGACACCCCTTTCTTCAGCCTCTCCCCCTTTCATTTCACGCTCCCAAGCCTGGCTTCAAGATTTCTCCGCCGTTACGTTTTTGGCGTGCTGCTCCTCCTCACACAAGATGGGCATTGTTTCAGTCGGGCTACGCGTTTTACGCAGGGCCGCTGTCAGCCCTTGTGCAAAAACGTTGCGCCAGACATCTGGCTCACTGTAGTTTCGGCGCGCGGAGGCTGCGTAAGGCTGCGATGGCGGCGGAGGGAGAAAGGCGCCCCTCCCCCTTGCTCTCGACACCGTTCCGCTTAGTGTGGCGGCGCAACCCTTGCGCTGGGAGGCGACGCTCTGTAACGGGTGTCCGGAACCGAAGGGCGGGGGGGGGGGTGCGCGCGCGCGCGAGAGAGAGCGATTCCCAACCCTCGGCTACGCCGCTTGCGCAGCGGCTCGTCGGAGGCGAGAAGCTTCAGCCAGCGCCTTTCTCCTCCTACTGCCTCTGCGCCGTTGGCGTAGCATGTCCCAAGATGGCGTCGCGGTCGTCGTCGTTGGCGGCGGTGGCCGGAGCGCTGGCGGCAGCTGGGGAGCCGACGTGGGAAGAGCTGAGAGGGGGAGCGAGGCGGCGGACGGCGGGTGGTAGCATTAGGAGCGAGTAGCGGCTGCGGAGAGGGTTTCCCCCTCCCTCTCGGCTGGTGTGTGAGGCAGAGACTCTCCGGGATAGCGGGTCCGCGCGCCTCCTTCCCCCACCCCCCACCCCGCGGTTGGGAGATCCCGACCTTCTCCCGCGCGGAGCCGACACCAGTCCCTCGCCTGCCTCCCTAGTGGGTGCTCCCACCCCTTCTCCCGAGCGGAGGATGATGAAGCTCAAGTCCAACCAGACTCGCACCTACGACGGGGACGGATACAAGAAACGGGCGGCTTGCCTCTGCTTCCGCAACGAGAGCGAGGAAGAGGTGAGTGAGGGAACCGGGCGGGCTGTGGCTGGAGGTGGGGGAGCACCAGCCGGGATGGGGGTGGTAGTGGTGGGGGGAGGGGGCGCCAGAAGAAGAGGCTCCCTAAGTGTTGCAAGTGGGGGGGCGGTTAGCAATGGCACACCCGACATGTAAGGGAGGCGGGGTATCAAACGGGAAGCTCCGAAGAAGCCGGGGGGAGATGGGGGAGGAGGCTAGATGGGGCTGCTGAAAGAGGGGCAGAGGATGAGGAGATGGGTGGAGCTTGTGTGGGGTGTCTATTCTTAAAGGATTCGTAGGGTGCGAACAACTCCCTTTCCCCAGACGGCGCTTCCCCAGACGGCGTGCCGCAGTTTGAAGGAGGACGGAGGAGCTTCCTCCTTAGTGGCTAGTAGCGAGAGTAACATGCGGTTGTTACTAGGCAAGAAGTGACATGACGCCTCTCATTAGCGCCTGTCTCCTGTCTGTGAATCGTTTTGTGCTGGGAGGTGGCAAGACACTTCCGAGAAGCAAAGCTTTCCGTTGTTTAAAAGCTCTGGCTGCACACTTTGCGCCTCGGGCCCAGGGTGGCCAGATGTCCAGTTGCACGTTCGGTATCTGCACCTTTAAATAGTTATACAAGCTACACTTGATGAAATTCTCCTTCATAAAAAGTGAAAGAGGGCTGTTCTCTTTTGTATCTGGCCATCTTTCCCGGAGCTCAGGAATGTGTGCAATGTAGACAACCTTAATCTCCTAGAGTTAAGTTCCTGTGTAAACGAAGGGGGTCCTCATAGGAAGCGCTGAATTGTTACACGTCTGACCTTAAGTCTCCAGAGGCATCAGAATTAAACTCCCAAGACATAGACAGGCAGGTGGTGCAATAATTTATTTCTAGAGGCCAAAGCGAGGACAGTTGACCAGGGTTTCATACTCTTACCTCTACATCTTTTATGTGGGAAATGTGCAATCCCATGTATGTTTTGGTAACTTCCACAGTGTTCAGTTTGGGCTAACTTCCAAGTAGGTGTGCATGCACATAGGATTGCAGCTTGAAGGGGAGTGGCACAAGGAATCTGAAGTGCTAGCCTCTAGAAATTATGGTTAAAAGATCAAAGGTTGTGTGTGTGTGTGCAATTTTCGAAACAAAAACTGTTGTGGCTCTTTTCATGTAAAGAATGCTCTGCAACAAGTAAATGGTTTAGATTGCAAGTTTTTGGGAATATTGACCCACTTTTTCTGCTGCTCCATGTGAATTGATTGGGCTGTATATCTAATCTGAACTGTTAAAAAGAATGGTTACTAATCTTCTTGGTCTTTAAAAACCAGAAGCATGAGTAAGCAAAACATACTATGGTACAGAGTAAGTGAATGATTTTTATAGGAAAGTAACAGGCAAAATCAAATTATCAAGAGCACCTCCTGATTTCTAGAGTCGCTTAAATGATGTGGATGAATGAAGGAATAGTTTTCTCAAGGCACAATTAAGAGGACAAGAGAGCTCAGTATTGTGATGGGATAGAAATGAGGAAAGCATGCAGAATGAAAGATTTAAAACAATGAACGGTGACATGAACTGGTGTGGCATGGCATGGGATTTGGCAGTGATTTGCTACCACCATGCTCAGCTAAGCACATCATATGACATGGCAGAAAGAAATTTGATTCTGGATTTATAAAAAGAAACTCGGATAAAAGGAACTGGTTACTTGCCAGAAATTGCCATTAGAGGGGCTTGTGAGAGAAAAAACGGGATTGAGAGACTGGTTATCCTGACATGTCCCACCCCCTCCCCACATATTGAAGGGGTAAACTTGCATTTAAACAGTTTATTTCAGTATAAAATTTAACACATATTTTAGGTTAAACATCAAGATATTCCTGTTAAACAACATGGCATCTTAGATGTAAATTTTATTTAAATACTCTAAAATTTATATAGTGTTGAAGTGTTCAAACTGCTTAACATGCAAGTAATATGTCATTAATCCTTTCAATAATTTTCTAAAGCAGGTTAAATTTGGTTATCATACTGCAGATAGGCAGCTGAGGTTAAACGAGAGAGCAGCTTCTCTTTACCTACATACTAACTTCATAATTGAGGTGAGATTAGAATTAAAGATTTATGGAAGTCCTAAGTAAATAGTGCAGTGTAGCAGCTTTCTTAGCTACCACTTAGAACTCCCTAAGTGAATTCTGTCGGATTGGGGTTGTCAATGCAGGTATTTCAGTAGGCTCCAGTAGACTTCCAGGTAGTCTCTTGCAGTTTGGACTGAGGAATTGGGTTTAAATCAGCAATTATGGGACATTGTTGGCCTCCCCAGTCACCTGATCTTCTGGACTAAAGCTTGCAGTATTTCTGCTGACCATCTGCAGGAAGGCTCTGTAGAGCAACAGATCATGGTCAGTAATTCCCTCTGCCTGCAAGCTGACTTGGTTGCACAGGGAATGTGGTGCCTGGGCCTAGTTTCTGGAAGCTGTTGGTGGATAACAAGGCACCAATATTATGTCAAGTTAGTTTTACTCAGTTTTCTGTTACTTAAGTTCATTGTGTTGGATCCAGATTGCTAAAATTTATTTTCATTGAAAACAATAGGATTTCATTTAGTCATAACTAACCAGGCCCTTTGATTTCATTGGGACCTACGTTAAACTAGAAGTTAGTTTGAATCCAATGTATTGTCATTCCCATTATATTTGTAACTAGAAGAAATTGCCACCAGGAACAAAATGAATTATTATTTCTTGCACTTATTAGCTATTTTCTACTTTAGACGTTCCAAAGTGATTTGCATTAAAATCACAAAGCAAAATAACAATAAATTCAGTACAATAATATTAACATATCAAAATCTAGCATAAAAGTTAAATCAAATCACAGAATCAATAAAAACCAGTATTTCTTATCTTACTTTATCTTTAATGAATTCAGCGTGACTTACAGAAAATTATTAAAATAGTAAAACTTCAAATTACAAACTAACAGAATGAAAGATAAGCAATAATAATAATTTATTAATTATACCCCGCCCATCTGGCTGGGTTTCCCCAGCCATTCTGGGCGGCTTCCAACAGAATATTAAAATACAGTAACCTAAATTATTATTAAATTGTCTATACCGCCCTTCACCTGCGGATCACAGGGTGGTTTACAATATAAAAACACAAAAATACATACCATCGTAATACCTGCCCACAGTTTAAAATGTCATAGATAGTTTAATCATCCGAAGGCTAAATAACCCCAGCAGAAAGAAAAGTGGAATGGCCTTTATTGTAGCAACTTAAAATCAGCAAATGTAAAATCAGTTTATTCAAAGCCTTTTTGAAAAGGTTTTTGCTTGAGGCCAGAAGGTGAGCCTTCCTGGAGTGGTCATTCTATAAGGCTGACTTCATTTCAAGAAGGCACTCCTACACTTCAGTTGGCAGAGGCATACAGAAGTCAATGTTAGAAACTGAGATATGAAAACCAGGAGCTAAATGGCACCTTAAACCGAGGTTATGGGCAGAACAATGAAATGTCTAGGCACACTTTTTTATAATCAGAATACAATGCTGAAAAGGAATGAACTGCAGCTAAAATATTACCGTATGTTCATTTTTCACATGGTCTAGTCCTTCCCCTACGCACCCCCTTAATATTCTTGAGAGGGTCTCTTCTCCAGTCTTCAGAGAGTACCTGGAAGTGAGGAGGTAGAAAAAGGTCCTCTTTTCCTTCTACTTTGCAGTTTTAATCTGAAATCTTAGGCGCAGTACTGCACCCAGAGCTTAGAAACTGCTCACGCTAAGGAAATTCCGTTGCAAAATGTGCATAGAACAAGGGGAGTTTCAAACATTGACAGAAGTAGGACATGAATGGAGTACATGTTCATTCATGTACAAGTGAAGGTGATCCTGGGATCCCAAATTCAGGTAGGTAGCCATGTTGGTCTGACGCAGTCGCAATAAATAAAAAAATTGTCCAGTAGCATCTTAGAGACCAACTAAGTGTGTCCCAAGCCATACAGCAGCATAAAATTAAGAACCAGCACTTTCAACTGAGCACAAAATAAACAGGCAATCATGGACCAGTCTGACTTTTTCAAGAAAAGGGTAGTCATTTTAAAAATTACTAATAAGGCAACCAAATACAGGTGATAGCCAAACAGAAAAGGGTATTAGACAGTATTTCCACCATTTGGTGGAGAGGTGGGTTTCATATTTAACAAACACAGAAATATAATCAAAACTATTGTGACCATTATTCCTTTCTCTTGTTGGATAATTCTACAATGATTTGGCGGTGAACAGTTTTATATATTAGGAAACAATATTCCTTCAAGTGTTTTCATGTCTTATGCATATAGGTCAGCCGTTCTCTAAGAAACCTGCCTATTGCTATGCTATACAGGTTTAAACCAGTAAAGTTGGATTTCAGTGAGCCCGTAACATTTCTGGCTTCATAACTGTTTATTTTATGTGGCTGCAAACACATACGGTTGGTTTTGCTGCTCCCTTACCTTTTTGCCCCTCAAATGCTGCTGACATGGCTTGGAGATCCTGGTTTGTTTAAACCTGAGTTGCCTGTTGGGTTTAATGTCCATTTACTGAACAGGATATTAAGTCAGGATTTCCTTTCTGAAGCTGGTGTGTGAGAGGAAGAGGGAGGAGTACTTAGGCTCTATGCTTGTTCTCAACTTTGTGAGCCATAGATTTATGACTGGGATGGAGAACCTTCAGCCTCCATGCCATGTGGTTGGTCCACAGCCTAATTTTATGGTCCCACACTATTTTAGGATTATCCTGAACCTTCCTTTCACCATTTTTGCCTCTCAGGAATGATCCTCTTCTGTGAGCATGTGAGATGGCTTCCTCTTCTGCTTGACTAAGTGTGTGAGATGGCTACACACACAACCCTAAGGGACAAAGCAGGAATGGTGGTGGTGGAAGAAGGGCAAGTGAGCTCTCTTGGAAGGTGGCTCATTGTGGCAAAGAGCAGAACATTCCATTGAGTTGTTTTTATTGCTTTCTCTCCTTGTAAGACG